GAGTAAAATTGAAAACTGAGTACTTTTACTTTTAGTGGAGTAATATTTTATTATACGTATCTATACTTTTACTCAAGTACTTGATTTGTGTACTTCGTCCACCACTGATAGTTATATATAGGATTTGGGGGTCACTCGAACAAGATGAATGAACAAATATAGAGGTCCGTGGTATCCAAAAGATTGAAAACCTATGATTTAGTAAGTGAAGTACACCCCAATTCATTAATTTAAGTGAAGAATCTAGTAATGACGTATCATGGCGATCACGAGTAGATTCGGGTTCGGTTCCGCCGTTGCCTTGGTTACGCACTGAGCGGCCGCGGCTGATGGAGGGGGGAGGGGGAGCCTATCTGCCTGTCATCTCCATTATAAGCACATTAAGCGTGACATGTAGCACAGCATATCCTTAGTCTACAATTCAAATCATTTTCTGAGATAAAAAAAAATATATATATATATATATACATTTCCCGATCGCATCGACACCTATAAGTGAAATCAAATACAATCGTGCTGAAGGTCGGGGTAGGCCACTGGGTTGCATTTCTAAAGCGTGCGCGTAAGGTTTGCACGGGGCATTAGACAAGTTTAGCCATTCTAAGCATGCATATATTAAGAGTACATTGATTTTTGCACGCCGAATGAATACAATCTATAAATAAGCACTGGTCGACTTTAGGAAGCCGAAAGCGGTTTCATATCGCGTGCACCGGTTGTGCTCTGTTTGCAGTTTGCGCGATTTTGCAGATTACGTTAGGATATAACACACCAAAACCCAAAACTCCGATTCTATATTTAGCTTTTAATAAATCGCGATTTATTATATGATAATTAAAAATAACAGACTGTATGACAAGCCAATCAGGAACAGCCGACCCGGGCTATAGCTAACGCGGTGCAGTAAACAGGCCTATTAAAGAAATAAAGATTTCAAATCTTTCCGTCACATACAGCACGTTCCGTTCGCCAGTCTGCAAAAGCAAATTACTGCATCCCTGCCTTGTGTTGCAGATTTGTTTACACACGTTTATGAAATGCAATTCTGCCCCGCGAACCGATTTCTAGCTGTTAAGCCATGCACAATGAGCCTGACTGCAGGGAAAGTACATATATGAATAACACAGCATTTAAACGAAGGTGCACTGATGATTTTCGACGATAATGGCTTACCTTGAATCAACCGAGAGTGGTCGTTAAAACCCCAGGCCTTGAATGTTGCTCTCAACCGAAAGATTCAGCCGATTCGGTACAACAAGCTAATGCAGGTCGGCTTGCTGTCTAATACACTGTCCTCGCTTTGGCCTAGAAAATAAATCTGTATACAATTCCCGACTGTTCTGCTTAACAAAAACATACCGTTGAAATAACACGCTGAATCGTAAGCGAAGACCGACAGAAATGATTTAAAGGATCGTGTAAAATTGAGGATTGGTCTGCAATTGCACGCTTGGTCGATACAGACTGTATTCTCAGTGTCGCCCACTAGGGAAAAATAAGTGCGCCCCTTCTATGGAGGAATTTGTAAATAACATTCAGGGCATATACGGTCTCAGTTTCATCTTATAACCGTCTTCAAACAAACGCGTGGAATGTGTTGTACGGGAATTGGTAGATGGAGCAAAATTAGGAGGTGAATAGATAAACAATATAAACTCTGAAGTGTCAAACAATACAGTTCAGTGAGGGCACTCGACTCTTTGGACTGAGCCTCCTGAGATAATACGACACTCGGAATCATGGGAATTGTAGTGAATTCTGAAGGGATTTTCCCATAATTTTGTGAAAATTTCTAATTTAGTGTTTATTTTCAGGATAAAATGTACATTAAAATAAACACCAAAATATTAAGGTAAAATGGCAAACAATTGTATGCAACTTTAGATCACCTAAATTTTTATATTTCTCCAAACCTACTCAGTCAAACTTGCATTGCTCACATTTAGTTCTCTGGCCTAATAAAGAATGTTATTTGTGTAAGAATGCATTAGGCGAGGAGGTTTAATGGATGTTAAAAGCATACAAAGAAAGTGAAGTGCAACTATTTAATGATATGCAGAGTCAGCTATAGCAAGTCCACATCTTTATTAGATTTCCCCATTCATAGAGGTCCACACAAAAATAAAAAAATAAAACTTCTGAACTTCCTGTTTTTAGAAAAACAGTGACGTGACAAACAGGAGGGGACGTGTTAACAGAACAAAATGAACAGAACCTGTGCTTTTGAAGGGAAAGAAAAAGAAAGAAAATCAGAAAGTGAAGAACAAAGTAATAACAACAGGTACTGGAAAGTGTACAATATTGAAACATTCATTTGAAGAGGATGCCTTGATAACAAAATACAAAGTGCACAGCATACTAAACTAGTAGACAGTGATCCAAGTGGAATGCAAACACAGCTGGAGGACAAGATTAGCACCTGATCCGTGCAGACCAGTCGCATGATTTGACGAGACACTACATAAATCTCCAGAAAGCCTCTTCATGCAGCAAAGGCACCTGGGTTTGGTTGCGGTCAGTCTCAAGGAGAAATCGCAACCATCCTAGGACGTTCTCCTGTGCCATTAGGTGATTGCTGAAGGTGTAGCCCAATCCAGGCGGAGAGATTTGGCCCTGGTGACATGGGACTCCAACCTGGACAGAAGAATCTAGTTAGCACTGAACCCATGCACTGTACTTTACAAGTTAAGGACATTGGCTTTGTTCAAAACAGCATTCTACTCATGATTGCTGCAGTGCATGGCATGCAAATTTTCTGTATGCATATAATAAATGCTTTGACTTGCTACACTTGCAAAAAAGGTGCAGCAAACTTAAACATTGATCCAATTTTGTGTAGGTGTCTTCAGCAAGTATACCACTTCAAACAACCATTGACTCAATATTTAGGTCTGACCTGAGTAGCATTAGAATACAGCCAAGGACCATCAGTTGACAACTCAAAAGGTTGTGAAATAATGGACGACATGGAATCCGGCGCCACTTCCCACTTTGTGCCCTCCTTTTCACCGTCGCACAGCTCTGTATTCATCTTCTCAAGCAAGCTCTGCCTAAGAGTTTTTTAATTTAGCAAATTAATAGAACTACTGCAAAGACAAAATTGTCTTTGAAGACTTACAATTGATCAACTGGGTCTTGTCCCTCCGTGTCTTTCTGGGAAGCAGATAGCGGGTCCCATGCATGAAGCGCTCTCCGCCAGAGACGGACTTGCATGTCCCAAGATCTGCGGCTATATTTGCGGCATTTGTTTGGAGTGGAAGGGTGAATCCCAGGCATGCGCAGACATCTGAACAGTTAGGAAATATAATACCCCAAAATGTTTCAATACAATCAGGAGAACATTAAAAAAAACAAAAAAACAAACAAAAGGAAGTTAACAGTTGTTAGCAATTTAATAACGTTCAGCAATTCTCACTTTGGAACCTGCTGAAAGTTCTGGTAGCCACACGTGTTCTTTCCATACTGAATCTGTTTTTGTCTACGCTTCAAAACTGCCTCATTAGTCTCAAATTGTGACGGGTCAGCATTGAGTGGGCACCACTGTCGCCCTGACGGAGACCTACAAAACAAGTGTTATTTAATCAGCTGGCCCAAGAAGGCCAAATAAGTACAAACATATATTTATTAATAATGAAAGCAATACACATTAAATAAATTTAATTATATATACACATATATACACACATATATATATATATATACACACACACACACACACACACTACTGTTAATATATACTGCTTATTTTCTCTTTAATAACTGTACTAAGAGACCTCTTGATCCCATCAATGTCTTCCGTTCCAACAGCAACACTAGCTGTAGACATCTTCAGGATGCACCACTCAAGAATGGATGACCTGATCAGACAACAACAATTTAAAGGGTTAAAAGCCTCTTTAAATGACTTCTTACCTTCTAAAATGTCTCATACAAAACTTCTACACTAAAACATAAAATATGCAATCAAAAGACATTGAACAAGAACAGACCTGCGAGGCTTCTGAACAGCAGAAGACTTCTCCATTATGTGAAGTTGACTGTGGGGTTTTAGAGCAGCTGGGAAGGGGATTCCACGGTTCACAAATCAATATCAAGCTTACAACCTATAGCAAAAAGAAAAACGCATCTTGTTGCTCCTCAATCAACAGAGATATTTACCTGACAAGACTATCATACACTGAACTGCAGCCTGGTAGAAGCCAAGGTTCTGGGCTGCATGGGAGAGAGTGTGTTTTAGTATTGAAGTCTTGGGCTGTTGGCCACAAATGAAGAGGCAGACCTCTAAAATACAAAACAAAAGACAAGCTACAGCAACACATAGGTTATTTTAAACCAATAAAATGGATTTTAAAAACACACTACCGCGACTCAAAGGGGTTTTGAAGAAGGCTTTCTATGCGTGTTGTCATGATTTTGGCTACAGCCACACAACACATAACGTTTGACAAAGCTTTTTATCAGCGGCAGGTGTAACAGGGGCGGGGCTGTACACATGAGACAGGTAAGGCCACTAATCATTAAAAAAAAAAATAAGCAGAAAATGTTATAAAATTAAATAATAAAATAAGATACTATTGTGATAACGCGTTCGTGTGAAAGGAAAGGATTGCGCTTTTATTTTGACCTGAAAATGTATAGCTTGTGTCTGTTGTAGCTGTCAGAGTTAGTGTCTCCAGTAAATATTTCTCTGTTTAGACCACTGATGTATTGTTATCTATTATCTCTATTATAGATCGGTGGTTTAGACACATTCTTTGTGATCTTGGCAACAAAAAAATAACGGGCAGATGTATATGGGTAAGTTGTGACACTGGAATCTGTCATTAAACAGCCCTATTTATTATATTCAGCAAAATGTAAACAATAAAACAGCTATGAAAGTCAAAACTATTCGTGAAAATCGCGTTAAACGTAAAAATATTAAACGTGTTTTGTGCAGTTAATATTGTGTTTAATTTAATTTTATTATTGTTTTTTTTTTCATGGTCAGAGAGCGGCTTTGGTTTGATCCCTTTTGAAATTTGAAGCAACTGCACTGGTTTACGACAGCAATACGCTTTACGGCATCACGGTAGCAAAATGGCGTCTGGCAGTGCGGTAAGAAATTTTCGTTAAGATTTATTTCGAATAGTTTCTTTGTTTAGAATTTTAGTCTATCCGTTTTCTTTGACCATTATTTATGAACGAACGCTATTCTTAATTTCTTCCTTTAAAAAGTGTAGATGTCGTGGTAGCCGGGGAAAAGAAAAACTGGCTGAGCTTGTGACGACAGATGGTTTTGTCTTTGTTGTCGTGTACAAAAACAAGAAAACGGATATATTTGAACTATGAGACGTTTTGCAATCTGGTATCTTTAGTATTGTTGGCCGACAGCCTTGTTGATCTATCAATATGATCAGATATTGATCATGAAAGTTTATTCATGTTCGATCTTGTGCACATGCTTTTCTATGCAGTTTCAGCAGATTTCTAAATACAGCTGATGTGATTCATTTGTTTAACATGTTTATAATAGTATCTGTTTGTTTTTGTAGTCCAAGAATGATTTTCGTCGTAAATGGGACAAAGATGAATATGAACAGCTGGCCCAGAAACGACTCACGGAAGAGAGAGAGAAAAAAGATGGTAAGCACAAACAATGTTTTGTGTGTGTGTGTGTGTGTATATATATATATATATACTCAGTTTTTAAGTTTATAAGCTTTAGTGAAAGAACGCATTCATTATATTTTATATGAGAATGTCACGTATAGGGTCAAATAATCGTAGTTGCTGACAATAGTTCATCCAAGTAAATAATTTAAAGCAGTATTTCCAATGTTATCCATCTTTTTCATTCTCCAGGCAAGCCTGTGCCCCCCGTCAAGCGGGAGCTTCTCCGCCACAGAGATTATAAAGTGGATCTGGAGTCAAAACTGGGGAAGACTCTCGTCATCACAAAGACCACACCACAGGCTGAGATGGGAGGGTTGGTATCTGTTATGCAATGACTGTACTATGACTACAGCAGTATGAGTTTATGAACAAGAGAGTGGACTGTGCGATTAATCAAAATCGTTATGAAATCACGATGTGAACATGCGTCATTTCTAAACTGCAGAAAGCACGATTTATGCGAAGATATTGTGTCCGCAACTATTGTCAATAAAGCCGCAACTACTACTTCAGCTGATAGTCAACATCTTTTTTGATAAAGCTTTCCTGGTTTCCTTTTGAAATATGTTTGAGATTAAAATTCATAAAACCAAAATGCATTTATGAGTGTAAAGTGTAAGCAAATATTATGTCAAAATGGTGATCAAAAGTCAAAATGAAATCGCGATATTGATAAAAAAATTGTGATAGTGTTTTTGTTTTTTTATGGCTGACAATTTTTCAGGGCATTGCTCTATTTCTGTGGATATAATTATGCATTTCCTTCCTCCCAGGTACTACTGCAATGTCTGTGATTGTGTAGTAAAAGATTCCATCAATTTCTTGGATCATATCAATGGTAAAAAACGTAAGTATTGCGGCCTTTGTTCTTTTCTTTTATGTAACATATTCATGTTGCATATTCTAACATATATATATATATATATACACACACACACATATATATTCTTACAAAACAATATTATGTTTGATACT